ATCAAGAACAATTCATCATAGAACAAACATATAAGTTCTAAGAATATGCTTTTTGTCCTGTGTATATGATATTTTATCAAAGCACTCTGTGAACATGTCTGCAGTTGTCCATTTGAGTCCTCTTCTCCTTTGTGATACATCATATAGAAATAGCTTCTCTCACCATTTCAGTACAAAATCTGATTGTATAGAAATGTTAACCTCCCTTGAAGTGCTTTTGTAAACGCACCATTAAACATTTGATTTCCAGATTTTTCCCGTTACCTTTAATGTCCCATTTATCAGAGTGTGTGGTCTCAATTACATGATGTAAAGCTGAGTAGGAGTTCAGAAGGTAATAAAGGAGAATAAATGAACAGTAAATGTCTGGATCTGTCTTTCCAAGGTTGAAAAGTCACAGAACAATAAGAAGACATATTTCTTTGAAATTATTAACTTGAGACTCCCATAGAACTGCCAGATTTAAAAAAATTTTTTTATTAACATTGGTGACAAAGATACGCAATAATTGCAGAAAACTTTTATTTGAAGCAATGGATATTTATAACCAATGAACACATATATGTTCAACATTTACTGTTGTGAATCAGTGTAACAATACGAAAAATAATTGTAAACAGTAAATTTTGAATTTGTATAAACCAGTGATTGGCCTCAACACACCTTTTTTTAACTATTGTACATCTTGGTGCAACCCTAAGATTAAATACTAACCCTAACTTAAACCATAACACAAAACGTAGCACTATTTTCCAATAGTTAAGCCATATTTTTATATTTTTATATTGAAATATGATAATGCTTAAATTAAGTATTTGTGGAAAAACACAGACATATCAGAACACAAACATGTCACTTTTGGTAAAGGAACAATTATGTTTTTATCTACAGGTGCATGATAAGAATGAAATAACAGTTGTAAGCTCTAGCTTTTGCTAACCTGTTTCCCCATAATAAACCCCAGCTTATTTTCGGGGGATGCTCCTAATAAAAGCAAAAGCCCTACCCCGAAAATAAGTCCTAGTCGTTCGCTATTCTATGTTCGGGGAATTTTCTCCGAACATAGATTCACGGCATTCCATTCGCCAGTAAGCTTATATATGTTCGGGGAAGTTTCCCTAAACATAGATACGCAAGATCCCATGATGTTCGGAATTTCTTTAAACACAGACCTGCTTTCTATCACACGTTTTTCCTGAAATTAGACCTCCACTGAAAATAAGCTCTAGTTTGTTTTTGGGGGGAAACATTTATATAAGACCCGGTCTTATTTTCGGGGAAACACGGTAGAACCTCTGGTCAGCATGGACACTGTTAAAGTGCTCTGCCATAGACTGAATGTCCTCTCAAGTTTAGCTCGACTGAGCTAAGCAACCAGGAAGTGACAGGGTCAGTTGTCTCAGAGACAGCCAGTGGATGTAACAAGGTTCATTTATACAAGTGCCAATTTCTATTGTTATCATACTCTTCACACACAAACCATTTCAGTAAGCTCAAGTACTTTAGGTGCCTGGAGTGCCATTAAATAATTTAGCAATGAAAACACAAAAATAGCTGTGTTGGAGAATAATTCCATAAAACTAAATACGTTATGGAAAACATACAGGATTGCAATATTTGACTAGGTTTGTGTGAAATGTACATCTCTAATTACTGCAGAAGTACCTGTTTATAGTAGATGACAGCATATTATTCTATTGTATAATCAAGGCAGTCACTTGACTGCTGACTCATATAAATAACCTTCATGTTGCCCAATAAACATGCAAACACCTGTATAATGGATAAGGGCAATGGCCACAGCTTTATTAACATTTCTAAAACCAGAATTAATAACCACTTGTCAGCTGATAGCGGTGGTTATCACCTGAGACAGATATAAACTTATTTTCCAGAGTCTGAAGCAGCCTGCCTTCCGCCTTCAGCCCAAGCCGGCTGCGACTCCCCATTCCCAATAGGCATTTGCCTTCAAATGCGCTGGCAAGGTACACAGCATGCAGTGACAACAAGACACAACAAGACACAAAGAACACAAACCAGCTGCAATCATTACAAACAGGGTGGTTAGGATGGAAAGAGCTACATTTCCTACATTCCCTACTGTCAAATGGTGAGTATCCTCCAATCACCCCCCTTTTTATCTGTCCTCTAAATTGTCTCCCCTTTAATTAAATCCCTTACTCTGGGCAGCAGTCATGCATCTCTTCCATGAAGTCCATAGAAACCCTTTCTATAAAATTACCACATTCTATAGGATGATCCTTTGATTGCTTTAACAGTTACACTTCCAGCATAGATTAATTACACATTTTAAATTTCATTATGAATTGAATACCAATGTAAAATGAAATTTAGTTTATAAAGCTTAGTTTACCTTCTCATTCTCATTTAAAATTTAAGCTTTAACTTACGAGAAACAAATGTCTCTAGCAAAGTTTAATTTTGTGCATACCTATAAGTAAGTGATCTGGAAGAAACAGGCACATCTTACCTCCTCCCATACAGTAAAAAGATTTATTTTAGAAATGTTATTGATGCATTTTAATAGTTACAGAGGAGGAGAAGTGGCAGAGTGCTCAATATCATTCAATACAGATTGTGAATATTTTTTAAGATGCTATGGCTCTTTAAAAACCTTCATATACTATTTAAATGCAATTGTGCTTTTGAATCTGGGTAAAGCCTACATACAGACATTTAGCTTACAGTATGTTGGCAATTATGTAAAGTCACATTGCTACAAATGTCATCAGGATCTTCAATAATACCCACAGCCAGATTATATAATTCGTTTGTAAATTCGTCTCACTATACTTGTATGACTCCCGTCTGAAATGAAGGAAAAAAACTAAATGAAAATAAATGGATTACCACACAATGTCTAAAAACGTTAAAACTGTATGAATATATATTTATGAATGGTAATAGCATTTTTTTGAAACACGACTGATGTATAAGCCAATACATGTATGCTTGTTATGTAATTACATGATTTTGTTATTTCATGATGAAAAGTCATGGTTTTTCAAAAGACACAGAGGTGAATATTGCGTTACCCTTTCTTTCCTGTCCACCAATAGCAGCAAAGAAAAAACACAATAGAAATAGTAACATATGGAGTAACGCCAACCAATCCCCATTCAGGTCCCAGTATAACCATAAGCACTACCCCATTTCTTTCACTTTCTTTGTCAATGAACAATAAAACAATAACAGCAAACAAACAAGGTAATCCATGACACACAATCCAACACGAGCAGTTTCACACAGGAACCAAAGAGTACTGAAGAAACCTGAAACACGGCCTCTAAAACATAGGAGAATCTCAATCCTAAGCAGCTGAGGCGTGCATGGGGTGTAGTAGGGATCAACATGCAAAGACATAAAAAACAGAAGCACGCAATTAAAACAGAAGTAAAATGTGTATATCTAACAAGCAAACACTCAAAATGAAAAATACTGTTATTCAGATAAAATAAAGGACCAACAAATCACATGACATTACATAAACTATAAAAGAAACACTCAACACAATTTACTATGTACCTACTGTAGAGACCAAAAAAAAAAAAAACAATAAATAAAAGGGAAAAACAAACTGTATGGGAACCAAAAAACCACAAGGGAGGGACAATACTCGCCTCTGTGTTGTTTATAATATCATGAATTTGTGTAATGAAATAGCAAAATCATGCCATTTTATGGCAAGATACAGAGGCTCAAATTGTAAGTACAACGCTGTGCAACAACAGTAGAAAAAAAAATAGGTGAAACCACTCTGAAATAAAATTTGAGTAAAGTAGATTCTCACAACCAATCAGCAGTCCTTATCAAATCCTCCAAACATTCCTACCGTAAGAAAATCTTGGAAGTGGTAGTTCCTCTAGAGGAATCCGCTCCAAAAACAGACATATCCACACCAGCCTGTTGCATTATCTATTTGACCTAACATTTCAGGGTTGTACTTGAGACCAGCAAGTATGGAGGATGAATAGATAAAAAGAGATGCTGGACAGAAACCTTTCGATATGCATAAGTACGATTCTCATACTCCTTCAAATAGGCAACTGGCCACAAGGCAACAGTAAAGGGAAAAGCCAGGTACAACATTGAGTTAAATGTAGTTAAATACCACTCCATCATCCAAACTTCTAAAACCCTCTTGAAGGAAATATGGCAGAAAAGTGTGACAAGCTTGGCCAACAGCTGACGCAAAGACAGATCTAAGTCAGGTGGCCATGGAAAGCAAAAGCATAGAAGAAACATCCCATGTACTAGAATATATAACAGGACGTGAGAGCCTGGCACCCTTCAACAAATGGAAACCGTAAAAAGCCTGGTGAGCTGAAGATATCGACTGTCCTGTAGCCCACCCAGATTCATAAAGGGAATTGATAAACTCAAGCACTGCAGTCACAGGCACTGAAGTGGGATCCATGTCCCTAGTGAAACACCAGCTAGCCCAAACTCACCAAACAGCTCCATAGGATTTCCTAGTTCCGGGGGCTCAAGCGTCTACCAGGAGATGTTGAGGTCTCTGAAATTCCTTGGATTTCCCAGGGTCCCACAACATCAGGTTCAGAGAACCATCCAGGAGCAGCGGTTTAGGTTGACCATCCAGGTCTTGGAGACCTGAATATGACCACAAAAGTGGTTCATAGTCCACCATGACTCCAAGAAAGGAGTCAGAAGAACCAGGTTGCCTGAAGGAGGCCTTGGGGAATCATGGCAAATGGAGGAAATGCGTTATGAAACTCCACGCTCCAATTTTGCATAAAAGTGCCCACCGCCTCTGCCTCCAGGTCAACTAAAAAAACACGAAAGTTGGGCATTGAGCCTCATAGCAAAGAGGTCTATGGAAAATGGGCCCCAGATGGAAGGAATATTGGAGAAAACCCTTAAGTCCAACCTGAAATCATTGAGATAATGCAAACTTCAGCTTTGTGAACATTTGTGAGACGTGGAAAGTATTCTGGCTGTACCATTATTTTCCATTGCAGACAAAACCTCCAAAAATCCACGGCCACCCACATGATTGATGTCATGAATTGCAGATACATTGTCCATGCACAGGGAAATGCAAATATTGGTTCTGTCCATCAAGAAACACTGAGCGGCAAAAGACCAAGCCAGAAGCTCCAGGGCATTGATGTGAAGGTGCGCATTGTCTGGTGCCCAATGGCCAGTGGACATACCCTTGCAGTGAGCACTTCATCTGTGAAGGCTGGCATTCGAGTCTATGGTAAAGTCCAGCTTAGTCCTGAAGATAGCCTGCAGTTCCATGTAGACAAGTTTTCTCCTGTGTTGTTGTCGAGAGTAACAAGGTACACATATGAGGTGCCGCTGCATAAGTGATTGATCTGGAGGGCACAATAATGTAGGCGGGTCGGAAACACTGCCTTGATCGACAACACCATGAGTTCTATCATTTGGGCCAAATGCTGGAGAGTGGTCTGCGGATGACAAAGGGCTTGACATAACTATTTGCAGATAGTTTGTGTCCTGGATGTAGGGAGGCTAAGAGACTTTGACTCAGAATCTACCAGGAACTAAAGAAACTCCAGCCTCCTGGATAGGGTCAGGCAGGACTTTTATTAATTATTGAGAAAACCTAGCCAAGAGAGAAGATCTACTTCCCAATGGAGGTATCATGAGAGTAGTCTGATCCTGAGCAATAGCCAGAATTTCATCCATGTAGATAAATAGCCGTACACCGTGACTACGCAACAAAGCCACGACAGGTCATAGAAGTTTAGTGAAGCACCAAGGTGCTGACAAGAGTCTAAAAGCAAGACATGTAAAGAGCCATGTCCGATCCCTCCAACAAAATTACATGGATGCTACAGACAGTACAAGGCTACATTATAAAGTTCTACTCTGCACCGGTACAGGATTGCCCACCATAGACTCATGTGACCACAGTGGACCATCAACCCCTCATTAAAGATGAAGTGAGATCACTATTCATGAGAAGGGCTTTGCAATATGCCCTGGACAAGGGTGGATTATTACGATATTACCACATGGAAACATACTCGCAAAATTGGTCTATTTGCAGATGATGTGATTTTGGTGTTGGGTGAACCAACTGTTTCCTTGGGATATCTAAATGAGGTCCTTAATAAATTTGTGATGGCCAAGGGGGACTCCCTGGTTGGCCCTTGTAGGGCCAGTGCTCAGTGAGCGTGGCCTATACACGTAACTAAGTTTCTTCTTGGGCGATCTCACTCACTAGCTCATTGCTCAGACACGCATAGACAGACAGACTCATACAATCTATACAGCTGGTAGACGCACACTCTTTACATCCAGTGGAAACACATACTCACTACAGTCCCAAGCCACAGACTCCTTTACACACGCAACACTACTAACAGTCCCCTATATAGGGACACCAGAGTAAAGTCACCAGCAAAAAGAGCTGTGCCATTTAATATAAACACAGGGTATTGCTCCCCATGCAATAGCTCTTCAACAGAACTCTGTGTATGAGTTGCCCTGGAGGGACAGCAAATTAACATTCTCACTTTGAGGTGGCATGTCATAGGTGATAACATTGCACATCTCCTCTCTGTCTCGGGCTGTATTTATACCTTGAATTTTGAAAAAAGTGACTAGAACTGAGAGAAGGACTCAATAAAGTCAGTTTTGGGGCAGTTTTGAATTGTCATTGTTGGGCAGAATAGCCGTGTTGAAAATTAATCTTTCCAAAACTTGTACATCTAATAAGAACTATTCCACTAAAGGATCCATTCTGATGTAACTAGATTTCCTTGGAAAAATAAAATGAACAGGATAAAATTGCCTATATTATAAAGAAATAAAAGACATGGTGGGCTTGGAGTTTCTGATTTTAAAGATTCTAATTTAGCTACTAATGCAGCGTCTGCACTCAAATTCCGTTTCAATTATAACATTCCTAAATGGTTATTTATAATATTTTATGGTTACCTAAATTTAAAAAGCCCAAAAATCCCAATTGTTCATAAGCAATATGATATTTTAAAACCAAATAACCACCGGTCTTATCTGTCTTGAATCACCTTGTTCCCAACTTTAATATTGATATTGATTAATTGCATTCATATTCTATTGACCATTTGAACAATCCGCTGTCCACCAACTCATTCTACCGTTCAATAATTTGAAAACAAGATGTAATTTAGATGCAGTAATAACCCAAATTTATTTTAATATTTCCGAATTGCAAGAGATTCTTCAGATACCAAATAACGATCAACAGATAGATATGCAGCAAATGTGTACTCTCTAAAACTTCTGTTTGCATAACCATCATCAAAAACTCTATTAATCCTATTTTTCATCGGTTTTAATCCAAAATTTGAATTTTTGTCTTGGGAAAAGGAACTGAAATAGGAGGTAGTTGGTCAGATTGGTACAAAATTACTAATGCTATTCAAGGTATGAATCAGTGTTTGAATCATTCTGAAAATGATTTAAACATTTTATATAGGTGGTACTTAGTACCAACTAGAGTGCAAAAAATGTTTATGGGCACTTCAGATGTTGGGGGAATTGTTGGAAACTGAGATCCAAGTCTCATATTTGGTGGCAATGTGGCAAATCATAAATATTCTGGAGAATTATCCTCTCATAAATTTAAATAATTGCCTCATCGATAAACACACTTTCTCCTAAAATGGGATTGTTTAAACCAATTCCTAATATAATCAGTAACCCGGAAAATATTACTATTGCACTGTAATATCCCTTACAGTGGTTTTAAAATGCGTATTGTTTGGGTGAGACCCACAAATACGATATATGGTTTGAATATATTATATTTTTGCACAGGACTTCTATGCATTTAGATATGTGCAATACATACACACTTTGATTGTGGTTAGCCCCCATTGTGCTCTATAGGTCATTATTATTATAGCTGCAGATTCCCTTGCCAGGGATTGCATTACAAGCTTTTGGGGTGAGCCCCCCTCAGCAACTTGGCCTGGGTTTTTCAGCTGTCACTAAACTGCGTGCATACTCACATACTCTGGGTTATACATAAATTTAGCTACTGCCTGTTATTTATTGTTATTGCCTGGATGTGTTTTTGTCCTTACTGAATTCCTCCACACTCTTTATAGGTGCCCCAGTGACCTCCATCTAACCACATGCAAACATGGGTGAATCACCACCTCAAGACCAAAATATACAAGTAATTAATGCTGTAGTAGTGCACTCAGGAGAAAAGGCTCTGGTGAAAGTTATCCCATCACTATCTAAGGAAAAAGGCACTCTGCCTAAGGGGATCCCAGACACCCCACTTACTGCAGCAAATCTGCAGAGTATAATATATTAAGACGTTAAATGATATTGGAAAGGGTCTGGCCCGTAACCTTGTTCCCACACTCAGATTCATCTCCCCTGTAGGTGTTGGATGAGTGACAGGCCATACACTTCACCTCCGACAATGAGGATCGATTGCAGAGGGAGACCCCTGAAGATTCACCATATATCAGAGAATCAGTTGTGGAAGGTTCCCACACCCAGCACAACCCTCCAACCAAGGGAGAATGAGGATATTTTCCTATAATCAACTGGCCAACTTTTATTTAACCCAAGGGTTACTCCCAATTTGTCCACTTCTGATTTCACAGACCTCAGGATAGAAAGATCCAGCGCACTCACCTATGGGGTACATTGACGTTGTGGCAGGCTTATGCAATGTATGATCATATAATGTAACTAAACCCCCATTATTTTTGCCTAGATTAGGTGTTTTTAAAAAAACTAATAAAATCTTTCAACATTGAAGTTGCTGTTTAGTGGATAGGTGAGTGCGCTGGATCTTGTGTTTTGTATTATTTGGCCCCCAGCAGCACCCCCATTTATGCATGTTCAGGTGAGTGCAGCCAACCCCCCCTTGTTTCATATGTATATATTTGGGAGTCTAGCCAACTCCTTGGTTTTGCACCCCTCCCTGTCACAGGTGCCTCATCCCAGGGCCCTATTTAGCCTTGTACTGCAGAGAGCCCCAGATGGAATTTTTTCCTCAAGTAAGTGGTTAATCTCATAAGAGCAGACATTAGGCTGTTAGTGTAGGACCTGCCAAAGATGGGGTACATTGACGTTGTGGCAGGCTTATGCAATGTATGATCATATAATGTAACTAAACCCCCATTATTTTTGCCTAGATTAGGTGTTTTTAAAAAAACTAATAAAATCTTTCAACATTGAAGTTGCTGTTTAGTGGATAGGTGAGTGCGCTGGATCTTGTGTTTTTTTTATATATATATATATATATATATATATATATATACATACATACAGCCACCATCAGACCCAAAGATCTCCCTCACTTGGTCATAGTAGGCATCTGTAGCGAGCGCCAGCATGTCAGCGCATTGCCGCGGTTTACCACAGCAATGTTCAATGCCGGGGCTCACGAGTATAGTGCTTCAAGGTGCTGCAGACATAGGCCCAAGGGAGGATACAGCCTTAAAGTCCCATTCTGGATGGAGTTGATAGAGGAAAATTTAAAATGAACCTCTTACTCACTTGGTGCAGGGAATCAGAGCAAACCTGAAGGCAGGGCTGCCACCAGAAATTCTGGGGCCCCTAACTCAGCTCAGGGTCTGGGCCCCCTGGGGCACGCCTCAAAATACCGCCCACTGGGTCCGCCTCCAAATACCGCCCACAGGAATACACACACAGACACAAACACACACACTGATACAAAAGGACACAGATACATACTAACAGACACACATACTGAAACAGACATACATGGATACAGGCATACATTCTGACACACACATACCGAGACATACACACAGGCATACATAGTGACAGACAGACACATACTAACATACATACAGACACACATGCATGAGGAAATAAAGACACATACATACAGATACCGACATACATACATACACACACACATACATACACACATACATATATGCAGACATATTGACAGACATACAGACAGTGACATCCATACACACATACATTCATAATGGCATACAGACATACATAGACATGCATACAGACATCCATACACACATACACACACACAGACATACGTTCATAATGATATGCAGACATACATTCATACTGACATACAGACATACATATATACATATATGACATACAGACATACACATATACATACATGGACATACATACAGACAGACAGACATGCATACAGACATACATACATACATAAACATACATGCATACATACAGACATAAACATACATACAGACAGACATACATACATATACATGCATGCATACAGACATACACACAGACATGCATGCATCCAGACAGACATACATACATAGATATACATACATACATAGACATAAATGCATACAGACATACAT